CCTTTCCGCACAATGGTCAGGTTTAGATATCGACGACATTCCGACGTCGCAAATCGAAAAACAAAGTTATTAGTTTTAGTGCAAAAATGGTGGTAAAATGGTCCACTACGCCAATGATTGATCAAGGTCCATTTCTAGGCTTCGCTCGTGATTAACATCCAACTTTTCAAGGCAGCCAGAAAGAACATGCAACGCAAAAGGTAGCCAGTGTAAAAGGGCCGAGAAAAACAGAAAGGAAAGGGGCAACAAACAAAATTGAGAACGGTTAATGGCGAAAAAAAAAAAATGGCTTTTGCGCATGCCCGGAATTGAAATTTTGCTCAATTTTGTGCCTAATCCTCGAAAAATCTCTCCTTTTAGTAAAAAAAACAAAGCTTTCTTAGAAAAACTTAAGCTTATGTAGCGTCATGGCAACTAAAAAACCTGACTAAACGGTTAAAAACGGTATTTTTTGGCTAAAGTTTGGTATCCAAAGGGTTAACATACAAAATGGATCCGTTTTAATTGCTCCGCATATATGATTTCTTTTCTCGAGATTTAAAAAGTATTCCTTTAGCTTTTTCTTCATAAAAGGTTTCTAACTTTTCCTAGCCACATTAAAACGATTTGCGCTAGAGTCACTGGGTGTAGTGCCGTTATCTTATATTTGATCCAATCCCAAACGTTACGACTGTCCGAAAGTTCTTTGCGTCCCTCTGCCGTCCATACTGGAAGCATTTCAGTAACATTATTTACATATTCTTCATCCTTCAACACGGAACAGCTCATTTTCCAATACCCAGGACCTTTAAGCTCATTTTCTTGCTCTCCATTCTCTATCGAAATTGCATCATGGTCTGTTCGAATGGCTGGAATTATGTCACTTGATTTCACTAAATCATTCAAATCATTATAAATCAACCAATAATCAAGACGGCAAAAAACTCTTGGAAACTTTTGACCAGGTAAAACTCCTTGTGTCTGGGTTTTTAATTCTCCAAATATCAATCAGATCGAGTTGATTTTGTAGGCGATCAATGCAGGCAGTCACTGATTTTCTTTCAATAAGTATACCTCGCTTTTTATGAATCTCTAGATTTAAAGGGCAATTGAAATCGCCTCCTATAATGATATTATCTTCCGTATCTAAGTTTTCTCTTTGTAACATTGCGAGTAAATTATTG